CCCTTTTTCAGTGTAATTTCTGCCAGGAAGAAAAGGGGGGGCATGCCTCCCCCAAAACAAATCCTGCCAATGACTGCAGCAGGGTCTCCTCCCCACTCTCCCTTCCCCTTCCTTCCTTCCTTGTCTCAATTTCCCAAACTGCCTTTAATCCTGCATCTTGAACTGGGTCTATTTCTCATGTCCCGTCCACGCAGCCATATAACCTGGAATACGATGGCCATGTATAAATATGTGAGGAGAGGTCATAGGGAGGAGGGAGCAAGCTTGGAAGGAAATGAGGAAAGGAGATTCCACTTGAATATTAGGAAGAACTTCCTGACTGTGAGAGCTGTTCAGCAGTGGAACTCTTTCCCCGGAGTGTGGTGGAGGCTCCTCCTTTGGAGGGTTGATGGCCACCTGTCAGGGATGCTTTGAATGCAATTTTGCTGCTTCTTGGTGGGGGGTTGGACTGGATGGCCCATGAGGTCTCTTCCAACTCTAGGATTCTATGAATATCAAGGCGGACAATCCACAATATCTGCTTTGAACGAGGTTCTTTTGACATACAGCTATTGGTGAACCAGTATCTTTCTTTGTAGTCCATGATGGTACTCACTACATAGGGCACTTTGACTACTAGTTCTTGACCCAAAATCAACTTCTCGGCTTCTCCTACTGTCCTCTTTTGTCGACTTTTCTTGTTATCTCCTTCTGTCATAATAGATATCTTCATAAAGTAGTCCGTTATATCCTTGCCCCCAATTTTTTTCATGCTGACCAATAGTTCTCCTGGAAGGGGCAAATGATCCTATTCAGTCTAGTCCTCATGTCAGCCAATCTAATAACTTCTTCTTCCCTCCTTGGTTGCGACTAACCTGGCCTTACTCATCCACGGCTCCATCCCACACTTCCTCTTCCTCTCATTCCTTCAGTATTCTGAGGACATTCGTGCACACTGGTCCCTTTCCAGTCTTGGGCTGTCCTCTTTCTCTTATTTCTCCTTTCCATCTGTATTTTCTTTTTCCTGCTGGCTCCTTCTTTTGTCTCTTTAATCCAGGGTCTTGTCACGAATTTACTTACTTACTTAAGCAATCCCTTGTAGTCCGAGAATGATGTTCCTCCAAGTTTAGTGTTTTGACGGTGGGTCTGTAGGTGGCTATTCTTGATCTGCATGTTCCCGCAATGAGGACATTGGTTTCCAGGTTAAAAGCAGTCCCGGTTGGCTTGACACACCCAGCTGTGTCCACCACGTTTTGTGGTGCATCAACAGGCTAGGTCCGGGGGGCACCATTCCTCAATCTACGAGGTTTGAGTGTGTCTACTTGAGAGTGGGAGTTCGAGATAGCTTGGGGATCCTGCTGGTGTACCGTCCACCCCGTGACCCAGCAGTTTCTCTGCCTGAGTTAGCAGAAGTGGTCTCAAATTCTATCCTAGCCTCCCAACAACTGATAGTTTTGGGAGACTTTAACATCCATGCCGAGAGCACATTGACAGGTGCAGCTCAGGACTTTATGGTTGCCATGATGACCATGGGGCTGGCTCAAGTAATATTTGGCCCCACACATCAGGCGGGTCACACATTAGACCTTGTTTTTATTGTGGACGGTGGGACGGTCAGTCGAAGAGCAAAACATTCTCCCATTGTCATAGTCTAGCCACCATCTGATCTGTTTGAGATTTGCCATGTCCTCTAACCTCTGCAAGGGTGGTGGACTCATTAAGATGGTCCGCCCCAGGAGACTTATGGATCCAGAAGGAGTCCAGAGGTCTCTTGGGGTCTTCCTGTTCTGGAGACTGACGATCCTGTCGACACCATCATTGATCGCTACAATAGTGAGATGGTCAGGGCGATTGACACAATCACTCCCAAACATCCCCTCTCTTTGTGCAGAGTCACACTGATTCCTTGGTTCACTGAGGAGTTGGCTGTGATGAAGTGCTGGAGAAGGGGTCTAGAGTGCATCTGGAGGAAATTTCGCGACGTATCTGACCAAGCACGGGATAAAGCTGCTATTAGGGCTTATTCTGTGGCTTTGTGAGCAGCCAAAAAAGCATTCTCGACTGCTTGCGTAGCGTCTGCAGCAAATAGACCAGGGGTCCCCAAACGTTTTGAACAGAGGGCCGGGTCACAGTCCTGCAAACTGTTGGAGGGCCGGATTATAATTTGAAAAAAAAAATGAATGAATTCCTATGCACTCTGCACATATATTATTTGCAGTGCAAAAAAAAAAAAAACCCCAAAAATCAAAAAAACAAAAAACCACACTTCTATATAAATAAAAATGTAATGTTCGTTTGTGGGATTAACAGAACTCAAAAACCACTGGACGAATTGACACCAATTTTGGACACAAGACACCTAACAACCAATGTATGTCCTTCACACAAAAAATTGATTTTGTCATTTGGGAGTTGTAGTTGCTGGGATTTATAGTTCAACTACAATCAGAGCATTTTGAACCCCACCAACGATGGAATTGAACCAAACTTGGCACACATTTCTCCCATGACCAACTGAAAATACTGGAAGGGTTTTGGTGGGGAGTGTCCTTTTGTTTTGGAGTTGTAGTTCACCTACATTCAGAGATCATTGTGTACTCAAACAATGATGGATCGGGATCAAACTTGGCACAAATACTCAATATGCCCAAATGTGAACACTGGTGGAGTTTGGGGAAAATAGAATCTTGACATTTGGGAGTTGTAGTTGCTGGGATTTATAGTTCACCTACAATCAAAGAGCATTCTGAACCCCATCAACGATGGAATTGAACCAAACTTGGCACACAGTTCTCCCATGACCAACAGAAAATACCGGAAGGGTTTGGTGGGCAGTGTCCTTTGGTTTTGGAGTTGTAGTTCACCTGCCTCCATAAATCACTGTGGACTCAATGATAGATCTGGACCAAACTTGATACTCAATATGTCCAAATGTGAACACTGGTGGAGTTTGGGGGTTGTATTTGCTGGGATTTATAGTTCAGTCAAAGAACATTCTGAACTCTACCAATGATGGAATTGAACCAGTCTTGCTACACAGAACTCCCATGAACAACAGAAAATACTGGGTTTAATGGGCATTGACCTTGAGTTTTGGAGTTGTAGTTCACCTGCCTTCACCATGCCGGCGTTCCCTGCCCACGCCCACCCAGCGTCGCTCCGTCAATTGCGGACACCCTCTGCTCCAGCCGCTCTGCTCTGCAGAGGACCCACCTGGGAGGCTTCTCCCTCCCACACTGGCAGAGCGGCCGGAGCAGAGGGTGTCCGCAATTGACGGAGCGGCACCGGGTGGGCGTGGCCAGGGAAGCCGGCATTCCCTGGCCACACCCACCCAGTGCCGCTCCGCCAATTGCGGACACCCTCTCCTCCGGCCACTCTGCTCTGCAGAGGACCCACTTGGGAGGCTTCTCCCTCCCACACAGGCAGAGCGGCCGGAGCAGAGGATGTCCGCAATTGGCGGAGCGGCACTGGGTGGGTGTGGCCAGGCCGGGCCAGGCTGCGCGGGCCGGAGAAATGCCCTCAGCGGGTCGCATACAGCCCGCGGGCCGTAGTTTGGGGACCCCTGAAATAAACCCTCTGAGTTGTTCCGGGTTGTTGGGGAGCTTCTCTGGCCTCCTGAGGTTGGGGGGCTTCCTGACGACTCGGCAACTCGTGCAGCGATTTTGTGCACCATTTTGCAGGCAAAGTTGCTTAGATACGCCTCGGGAGCCAGCGCAGGTCTCCATAACCAGCTCCACTCAATCTCAGGCGTGCCTGATTAACTGACAGACTTCTGGACCAGGAGGTGCTGTACTTTTATTGTGCTTTTGCTGCATATAGGGGGTTGGACTAGATGGCCTTTAGAGCTCCCTTCCAACAACATTATTATTTTTATTCATATTAAGGCTCGATGGCCATCTGCCAGGGGTGTTTACACTGTGCTTTCCCTGCACGAAGGCAGAATGAAGAGGGTTGGACTACATGACCTTTAGAGCTCCTTTACGTCATCATCATCATCATCATCATTATTATTATTAAGGCTGAATGGCTATTTGTTGGGGGTGCTTTGATTGTGCTTTCCCTGAATGAAGGCAGAATGATGGGAGTTGGACTAGATGGTCTTTAGAGGCCCCTTCCCAACAAAGATTCTAAGAAAGGAGTCTTAGTCAACCAAGAGCTGAACATGAGCCAACAGTGTGATGCTGCAGCTGAAAAGGCCAATGCCATTCTAGGCTGCATCAGTAGAAGCCAGAAAGAAGGCAAAAGGGAACTGAGATGACACTTTACTTCGGATGGTTTTTTAATTGCTTTCAATGATAATTATTTGATGCAACTGTTTGTTTTAATTTATTGTACAATGTTTAGTATTGCCTTTTGTTTATAATTTTTATGTTTTTTGTTTTGTTTATATAGGCATTGAACGTTTGCCTGTTTTTACCAGTAGCGGCTGCATTTCCCATCCTCGGCTTATACTCAAGTCAATAAGTTTTTCCAGTTTTTTGTGCTAAAATTAGGTGCCTCCGCTTATATTCGGGTCGGCTTATACTCGAGTATATACGGTAATTTAATTCTCGACAAATTTTTGGTTGGTTTTATAAGTTATAGTGAGATCATTTTATTTCCTGTTTGTGTCTTTTATTGCTAGGCAGCTTTTCTTGGCATTGTTTGCCATTTTTATTATTTCCTGGAAACCACCCTGAGTTCCCTCAGGAAGAGAGGGCGGGTAATAAATACATTCTCCTTCTCCTTCTCCTTATTATTATTATTATTATTATTATTATTATTATTATTATATTTATACCCTGCTTTATCTTGCCAAAGGGGCGCGAATATTAGAAGTCCCCCTTCCTTCCTTCCTTCTATCATTCATTCTTTTCGTTCTCCATTCTTTCTTTTCATTTTTTCTTTCTGGATTCATTCCCTTCTTGTTTAAGAATCAGTGGTTGCCTTTGTTGGCATCTGTGTATGTGCTTGAGACCCTGATGTCTGCATTTCTTGGTATTCCCATTTTCAACATGACCCATGATGGGAAAGTGGGGAAAAGGCTTGCAGGTAAAGAAGGTTTCTGTCTTTCATCACCGATCTTTTGCTTCTTTCTTCACCAGGGAAATGAGGATTCTGTGGAGCCAACTCTTGGGTGCAGTAAGGAAACCATTAATATAGGAAGAAGGAAGAAATAATCTCAAGGTGATGATCTTGCAGATTCCTGACTTCACTTACAGATAAGAAAGGAAATAAGTAGTGCCAAGTATCTGTATTGCCATTCAACACCTATATGAATATTGACATGGAGGAGAAAGCATTTAAATGCCTGGAGTGTGGAAAGAGTTTTACTCGGAGACATAATCTGCAGCAACATGAAAGGACTCACACTGGGGAGAAACCCTATAAGTGTCTGGAGTGTGGACGGAGCTTCAGTCATACTCTAAATCTACATAGACATCAAAGGACTCACAGTGGGGGGAAACCCTATATATGCCCGGAGTGTGGAAAGAGCTTCAGTAAGAATGGAAATCTACGTGTGCATCAAAGGACTCACACTGGGGAGAAACCCTATACATGCCTGGAGTGTGGAAAGAGCTTCAGTCAGAATGGAAAGCTGCGTGTGCATCAAAGGACTCACACTGGGGAGAAACCCTATGCATGCCTGGAGTGTGGAAAGAGCTTCAGTGAGAATGGAAATCTACATGTGCATCAAAGGACTCACATTGGGGAGAAACCCTATAAATGCCTGGAATGTGGACAGAGCTTCAGTCAGAGTGGACATCTACGTACACATCAAAGGAGTCATACTGGGGAGAAACCCTATGTATGCCTGGAGTGTGGACAGAGCTTCATTACTAGTATACATCTACATAGGCATCAAAGGACTCACACTGGGGAGCAACCCTATAAATGTTTGGAATGTGGACGGAGCTTCACTTGGAATTTCAGTCTACATTTGCATCAAAGGACTCACACTGGGGAGAAACCCTATAAATGCCTGGAGTGTGGACAGAGCTTCACTTGCAATTCCAGACTACGTTTGCATCAAAGGACTCACACTGGGGAGAAACCCTATAAATGCCTGGAGTGTGGAAAAAGCTTCACTGATAATAGAAGTCTACATAGACATCAAAGGACTCACACTGGGGAGAAGCCTTATACATGCCTGGAGTGTGGACAGAGCTTCACTCGTAATTCTGGTCTACGTTTGCATCAAAAGACTCACACTGGAGTGAAACCCTATAAATGCCTAGAATGTGGACAGAGCTTCACTTGTAATTCAAGTCTATATGTGCATCAAAGGATTCATACTGGGGAGAAACCTTATATGTGCCTGGAATGTGGAAAGAGCTTCACTGAGAGTGGAAATCTACGTTCGCATCAAAGGAGTCACACTGGGGAGAAACTCTATAAATGCTTGGAGTGTGGACACAGCTTTTTTAATAGTGGGAATCTACGTGTGCATCAAAGGACTCACACTGGGGAGAAACCCTATGCATGCGTGGAGTGTGGAAAGAGCTTCAGTAATAATTCAGATCTACGTGTGCATCAAAGGACTCACACTGGGGAGAAACCCTATACATGCCTAGAGTGTGGACAGAGCTTCACTCAGAATGGAAATCTACGATCTCATCAAAGGACCCACACTGGGGAGAAACCCTATAAATGCCTGGAGTGTGGACAGAGCTTCACTCAGAGTGGAAATCTACGATCACATCAAAGGATTCACGTAGGGGAGAAATCCTAGAAATGCATGGAGTATGTACTGAGCTTCACTCATAATTCAGATCTACATTTGCATTAAAGGACTCACACTGGGGAGAAACCCTATAAATGCCTGGAATGTGGAAAGATCTTCACTGATAATTTAAGTCTACAAAGACACCAAATAACTAACACTGGGAAGAAACCTTTATACATTCCTGGACTGGACAGAGCTTCACTTGGGTTGAAGTCTATGTTCACATCAAAGGATTCACACTCTGAAAAAAGCTTATACATTACTGGAGTGAGGAAAAGGTTTCACTGAGAGTGGACTTCTACATTCACATCAAATTACTTACATTTGGGAGAAACCCTAAAAATGTCTGGAGTGTGGACAAAGCTTCACTCGTAATTCAAGTCTATGTTCGCATCAAAGGACACACACTGGGGAGAAACTCTAGAAATGCATGGAGTGTGGAAAGAGCTCTGAGAGTTCAAATCTACATAGACATAGAACTCACATTGGAAAGAACAGTGTTATTTGACCCCAGAGAGACTCCCTAAAACAGAATTTTGCAAACTTTTCACGTTAGTGACCGTACCCAGTTGGTGAAGCTGGGGGATACCTGATCGGACCCTGGCCTTTGACCTGTGGGGTCTCGCAAGATTCTATTCTTTCCCCCATGCTTTTTAATATCTACATGAAACCTCTGGGTGAGGTCATCCGGAGTTTTGGAGTTCGTTGTCATCTCTATGCAGATGACGCGCAACTCTACTACTCCTTTCGACCAAAATCCAAGGAAGCCTCTTGGGTCCTGGACCAGTGCCTGGCCACTGTGATAGGCTGGATGAGGGCCAACAGGTTGAAACTGAATCCTGATGAGAGAGAGGTCCTCCAGGTCAGTCGCTCAGCCAAACGGGATATAGGATGGCAACCTGTGTTTGACAAAGTTACACTCCCCTTGAAGACACAGATCCGCAGTCTGGGGGTCCTTCTGGACTCAGCGCTGAACTTTGATGCTCAGGTGTCGGCGGTGGCCGGGAGGGCCTTTGCACAGTTAAAACTTGTGTGCCAACTGCGACCGTACCTCGAGAAGTCTGACTTGACCATGGTAGTCCACGCCTTAGTTACCTCAAGATTGGACTACTGTAATGCACTCTACGTAGTGCTGCCCTTGAAGACGGTTCGGAAACTACAGCTGGTGCAAAGGTCGGCAGCCAGATTAATAACTGGAGCAAGTTACAGGGAGCAGTCAACGCCCCTGTTTAAACAGCTCTACTGGATGCCGATAAGTTTCCGGTCCCAATTCAAGGTGCGGGTTATTACCTATAAAGCTCTTAATGTTTCAGGACCTGCCTATCTGTATGACCGCCTACGAACCCACACGATCCTTAAGATCTTCCGGGGAGGCTCTTCTCTCACTCCCGTCTCTGGAACTCCCTTCCCTATCCACTTTCTGTAAGGAATTAAAGACCTGGATGTTTTGTTGTGCTTTTTCTGACCGATGACTCTTATGATAAATAATCTGTATCATGACCAAAATCACGATCTGAATCTGAATTCCTATATCATTATATATTAAGTTGATCTGATCCTGTTAAACTGCTCTGTTTGCCATGCCATTTCCTATGCTATCATACGTTTTTATCCACCTTATTGAACCCCCATTCTTTAATCAGTTTGCATAGCGGTCCCTTTCCGTCCCTCCAAAATTAGTGTGTTGTTGCTTGATGCTTGCTTGTGGTTGTTATGCTGTTTTATGCTATTTTAATTTGTTATTGCTTTTGCTCTTAGTTGTATTTTGCCTGGGGTTGGCCCCATGTAAGCCGCCCCGAGTCCCTTCGGGGAGATGGAGGCGGGGTAGAAAAATAATGTTCTTTTTCATCTTCACTCGTTTTAGACATACATCCTTTTGCAACATGGTAATTCAGTTTAACTAGTGACCAGAGCTTAAACCAACCCCTTATAAGATTTTGAATATAATATCATATAATAATATAGAAAGATTTGTTTAGTATACTCTTGGGTAGTTTCCCAAATGCTTGGGTAGTTTCCTCTATAGCTGATGAAGATTTTATTTTATTTTATCAACAATTTTTTTTTCTTAATTCTGGTCATTATTGTGCCAATAATCAAAGTTGTAACAGAACCTACACTTGAACACACCAGCATTCCCCTTCTGTAGTGATGACACCTCTCTAAATGTTTTGAAACAGAGGCTGCTTTGACTGTGTCTTTCTGTCACTAAGAGAATGACTGATGAACATCTGCGAACGATCAGAGACGGACAGAGTGACTCTGCTGATCTTCAAGAAAGATTGGGACTTGTTTATCAGTTTTTCACGACAACAACAACAGGGGCAAATGTCAGTTGTTGGATTGATGAATTTGGAAGAGTGTTTTCAAAGGCAGAAGTGCAAAATTCTTACAATTAGACCCAAGTCTGTCTGTTGATTTGTTTGTTAAAATACATTGTGTGTCTATCTATATAGGTGTGTTTTCTTGGTGTGTTTTTTCTAATTTATTTTTGCAGTTTACTGTGGTGTCTACTCATTTTATACACACACACATACACATACACACACACACACATATGCACATACACTGATTCTCTTTTTCGTAATTAAAAATGTGATTGCAAAAAGGAAATTTAGAGGGGTCAAAATATCAGGGACTGGAAAGGCGTGATTTTAATAGTGATTATAATGTTTATATGTTTTTCTGTGTTTGTTGTGTATTCGTTCAGTCGCTTCCGACTCTTCATGACCTCATGGACCCGCCCACGCCAGAGTTCCCTGTCGGACGTCACCACCCCCAGCTTCTTCAGAGTCAAGCCAGTCACTTCAAGGATACCTTCCATCCATCTTGCCCTTGGTCGGCCCCTCTTCCATTTTCCTTCCTTTTTTCCCCAGCATCCTTGTCTTCTCTAAACTTTACTTTCTTCTCATTATGTGGCCAAAGGACTTCATCTTGGCCTCTAATATCCTTCCTTCCAGTGAGCAGTTGGACTTTATTTCCTGAAGTATGGACTGGTTCGATCTTCCCACGGTCCAAGTCACTCTCAGAATTTTCCTCCAACACCATAGTTGAAAAGCATCTCTCTTCCTTCTCTCAGCCTTCCTTATGGTCCAGCTCTCGCATCCGTAGGTTACTATGGGGAATATCACTGCTTTAACTTGAACAGTTCAGCTGGGATCCCGTCTTCTCCTGCTGCCTTGTTATTAGCAGTGCTTCTTAAGGCCCATTCAACCTCACTCCTCAGGATATCCGGTTCTAATCCACTCACCACGCCATCTAAACTCTCCTCAATATTATTATCCATCTTCTGTATAGTTTCGCCATGCCATAATGGAGTTTGGTTTTGTTTTTTTGTTCCATGCCCACCGTACATGTTTTCCAAATCGCGAATAGCCTTACTTTTACGGGATGTCTATGGAAAACTTTATTAATTCCAACTTTTCCATTCCATAAATACACATGCCAGCCAAATCTTAGGTCATATCCCTCTGTAAATAGTATATAGTTTGTAGTTTAGTATTTGCAATAAAGTAAGCCACTCTAGGCTTTGGAGTTGATCCGAAGTAGCATGGTATATTTATTTTCCTTTTGCTTTCCCAGCGGATGCTGGAGAGTCAAGAACAGGGGTCCTCGAACTTTTTGAACAGGGGGCCAGTTCACTGTCCCTCAGACTGTTGGAGGGCCGGACTATAGTTTACACGGGGATATTGTGAAACATTTATTTTATATTGTCGAAGGCTTTCATGGCTGGAATCACTAGGTTCTTGTGGGTTTTTTCGGGCTATAGGGCCATGTTCTAGAGGCATTTCTCCTGACGTTTCGCCTGCATCTATGGCAAGCATCCTCAGAGGTAGTGAGGTCTGTTGGAATTAGGACAATGGGTTTATATATCTGTGGAATGGCTGGGGTGGGGCAAAGAGCTCTTCTCTGCTGAAGCTAGGTGTGAATGTTTCAACTGACCACCTTCATTAGCATTTGAAGGCCTGGCTGAGCCTGGGAAAATCTTTTGTTGAGAGGTGTTAAGATGTGCCTGGTTGTTTCCTCTCTGCTGTTTTGCTGTTGTAATTTTAGAGTTTTTAATACTGGTAGCCAGATTTTGTTCATTTTCATGGTTTCTTCCTTTCTGTTGAAATTGTCCACATGCTTCTTGTGGATTTCAATGGCTTCTCTGTGTAGTCTGACATTGTGGTTGTTAGAGTGGTCCAGCATTTCTGTGTTCTCAAATAATATGCTGTGTCCAGGCTGGTTCATCAGGTGCTCTGCTATGGCTGACTTCTCTGGTTGAAGTAGTCTGCAGTGCCTTTCATGTTCCTTGATTCGTGTTTGGGGCAACAGAGAGGTGGTCCCTATGTCGACTTGTCCACAGCTGCATGGTACACGGTAGACTCCTGCAGAGGTGAGAGGATCCCTCTTGTCCTTTGCTGAACGTAGCATTTGTTGGATTTTCTTGGTGGGTCTGTAGATTGTTTGTATGTTGTGTTTCCTCATCAGCTTCCCTATGCAGTCAGTGGTTCCCTTGATGTATGGCAGGAACACTTTTCCTCTGGGTGGATCTTCATCTTTACTCTCGTGGCTTGTTCTTGGTCTTGCAGCTCTTCTGATGTCTGAGGTGGAGTATCCATTGGCCTGGAGAGCCCAGTTTAGGTGGTTCAGTTCATCTTGGAGGAGGTGGGCTTCGCAGATTCTTTTTGCACGGTCTGCCAAGGCTTTAATGGTGCTTCTTTTTTGACTTGGGTGATGGTTGGAGTTTTTATGTAGATATCTATCTGTGTGTGTGGGTTTTCTGTAGACGGTGTGACCCAATTGTTGATCTGTGAATCACCCAGTGATTCCGGCTGTAACGAAGCGCGTATAATCAAGGAGGGAATTAAACTCAGGCCTCACTTATTGGAAAGAATATATTGTAGGGGAGGCCAATTATTTGTAAACTAGAGTAGCTGCCAGCAATCATGAGGTATATGGGTTATCAATGATAAGATTTGGCTTCACAGACGCAGATTGACTGAGATGAAACGGTCTTCAACAAAAGAGAACAAGTTTATTTTGTACAAAGTGTGTGGTTACGAGTTGTTGAATGACTTCTGGAACTTTAAGTAACACTTAGTTTGTAATACAGTTCACTCTTTCAAATGATACAACTTATAGCAACTGTTAGTGAAATGTAGTAGGGCTGGGCGGTTTCGTTTCGTTAATTCGTAATTCGTTAATAATTCGTTAATTTTTTCAATTACAAAACGATAACGAACCATTCTGGAGCAATTATTAAAAAAAACGAATTTTCAAAAACGTTTTGTAAATGCTTCGTATTTCGGTATTGTATTCGTTTCGTTATTGTTTTGAGGTCGTTTCGTTATTATTTCCGCATGTCTGGGCCAGTTTTATGGTTTAATTAGTGAAAAAAAATTATAATATCACACCAACAGTCAACAACAGAGGGAGAGGGAAGCTTCAGAAGGTTTTGGAGGTTTTTTAGCGTATTTCGCGGTCGCGTCCGCCATTAACGAATCGATTCGTTATTGTTTCGGAAATCGATTCGTTAATTTTTTACCATTTACGAAATTTCGTAAATATCGAACTTTTTAAAAGGAAAATTTTGTAATTATTTTAAATATCGAAACAAAAAAACACCCCAATTACAAATCGATTTTAGAACCAATTTTTTCTTGATCAACCAGGCCAAATGTAGCACTTTGCTGAGCAATGTTTCCTGAGGTGAATAGCTTTCTAATTTGATCTGTCCTTGATCAAACTACTGATCTCTAGTCTTCTCCCGACTAGCGATCTTAACTAGCTTTCTTTAGCCTTCCCTGACTAAAGAAACTATCTAGGTTTCTCCCTCCCGCCTTCCTAGGCTGGAAAACCTACTGCTATTCCCTCTCACTGCTCTTCCACTAAACTACTATCTCCGACGGCTGACTGAAACGACCTCCTAACTGGAACTGCTCACTCCGAGCTCCAAACCCTAACTGAACATTAACTGTCGTTTTTCAAACTCTCCCCTCTAAGCTCCTCCCACTTCTCTCTCTAGCCTACATCGTCTCCATGGCAACGCACTCCTCTGACTTAGGCCGCTCCAGCATTACTGCAGCCAATCTAAACACAAATACAGTTAAAATCATATAATTTATAATCAACTTCTGTACACCGGCCATGAAAGCCTTTGACAATACAATGACATTTTAAAGTTTCTGCAGCCTTTGGAACTCTCTGCTGCAGGCACGAAGGGAACAAATAATAATTTTGCCCAGCAGGGGGGTTCCATGCATGCCACATGGTTATAGCTTCCCTTCTGGCCGCTCGGGCCTCCCATGGAAGTCCCATGTCCCAGAAGGGGAACCAGGTTGTGTTCTTGAGTGGAAGGGGGTGTTGTGGTTCCTGTTTCCTGTGTGGTGGTGTGGGGCTTGCGTGTGGCGGGAAGGGAGGCCGGGCAGGCCCTCCTGGGGTTCCCCGCCCACTCCTGAGTCCTGCCTTCCTTCCTTCCTCGGCTGGGAGCAGCAGGGCTTCCCTCCCTCTGGGGGCCTCCCACCCAAGCCCCATCCAGGGCTGTTCCTGCTCAGCCGTGCAGGCCAGCCAGGAAAGAGTGGGGCCTTCCTTCCTTCGGGGGACTCAGGCCAGGCAGAGCCAGAAGGGACCCTGTTTTGTTATTATTGGGGGCTGGGCCCTCCCTCCTGAGGACAACAAGTTAAACATGAGCCAGGAATGTGATGTGGCGGCAAAAAAAGCCAATGGGATTTTGACCTGCATCAATAGGAGCATAGTGTCTAGATCTAGGGAAGTCATGCTACCCCTCTATTCTGTTTTGGTTAGACCACACCTGGAATATTGTGTCCAATTCTGGGCACCACAATTTAAGAGAGATATTGACTCTAAGCTGGAATGTGTCCAGAGGAGGGCGACTAAAATGATCAAGGGTCTGGAGAACAAGCCCTATGAGGAGCGGCTTAAGGAGCTGGGCATATTTAGCCTGAAGAAGAGAAGGCTGAGAGGAGATATGATGTCGTTGTTCATTTGTTCAGTCGTCTCCGACTCTTCGTGACCTCATGGACCAGTCCACGCCAGAGCTCCCTGTTGGCCGTCACCGCCCCCAGCTCTTTCAAGGTCAGTCCAGTAGGGGATATGCTAGCCATGTATAAATATGTGAGAGGAAGCCCCAGGGAGGAGGAGGGAGCAAGCTTGTTTTCTGCTTCCCTGGAGACTAGGACGCAATGGAGCAATGGCTTCAAACTACAAGAGAGGAGATTCCATCTGAACATGAGGAAGAACTTCCTGACTGTGAGAGCCGTTCAGCAGTGGAACTCTCTGCCCCAGGGGGAGTGTGGTGGAGGCTCCTTCTTTGGAAGCTTTTAAGCAGAGGCTGGATGGCCATCTGTCAGGGGTGATTTGAATGCAATATTCCTGCTTCTTGGCAGAATGGGGTTGGACTGGATGGCCCATGAGGTCTCTTCCAACTCTTTGATTCTATGATTCTA